CTGGCCAAGAGGTGCTTCTCACAACCGACTTTTCCCTGATTCAAAGTGAATCATGTTGAAAACCAGGAGAATTGGGCCTTTCCGCCCGCTCCAGAGTTCATTTCAGGAGAGAAAAGAGTTACATTGGGATTTGCATTTGGAGAGCCAAGTTTGGTGTACCAGTTAAGTGCACGGACTCTAATCTGGGAGGACCGGGTTTGATTCCCTACTCCTTCACATGCAGCTGCTGGTGTGACCTGGGGTCAGTTACAAGTTCTCTCAGAGCTGTTCTCTCAAGAGCAGTCCTCGAAAGAGCTCTCTCAGCCCCACCTGCCTCACAAAGTGTCTGTTGGGTTTGTGGAAATGGGTTTGTAAGCCGCTTTGAGACTCTTCGGGTAGTGAGGGGCGGGGTATAAACCCAATCTCCTCTTCTTCTTGAATGCCATGTTGGGAAGCTTCCAGGTCGGCCCCCGCTGCTCCTAGAACGTTTGGTCTGTCTGCCTGTGCCTTTAACTCCCCTCCCTTTACTCTCTTTAAGGAGCACAGGTGTCAAGCAACCAGCCATCAGGAGCGTCTTGGACAAGCGGTCGCCGGTGCTGAGCACGTTGCTGCCGATGGCGAAAGACAGCGCTCAGTATCTTTTCCAAGACCATTACCTGCATCCCAGCAGAACCCCCCGGATCTCGTGCCCCGAAGACCTGCCGGCCTTGTCTTCGATAGTGACACTGTCCAAGTAAGGAGCACGGGCCCGTTCTGTACATTCTGGGGCAACTAACTGGGATTTCCATCTAGCACACCCTCGGCAACGAACCCACATGCGGATTTCTGTGACCAAGGCCCTTGCACCCATTGCATTCCACGTGCATGCCTAAAATGTGCAAGGAGGTCTCTTGGCTGCTTTTAGGATGGAAGAAAATTTCACATTTTCACTAGGATCACATACACAAAGCCACTTTAGTAGGGTGGTTAAGAGCGGTGGACTCTAATCGGGGAGAACTGGGTTTGATTCCCCACTCCTCCACATGGGGCCAGCTGGGTGACCTTGGGTCAGTCACAAGTTCTCTCAGAGCTGTTCTCTCAAGAGCAGTCCTCGAAAGAGCTCTCAGCCCCACCCACCTCACAGGGTGCCTGTTGTGGGGAGGGGAAGGGAAAGGAGATTGTGAGCCACCCTGAGACTCCGAGTGAAGGGCGGGGTATAAATCCAATCTCCTCCTCCTCCTCAATCTCCTCCTCCTCCTCTCAAGTCAGATCCTCAGCCTGTTGAGGTCAGCAATGTCTGCTCTGACCGGCAGCTTCCTGGGTTTCCAGGTAAAGGTCTCTCACGAGGTACAGGTCTTAAGACTGGGTGCTTTTTAATTGGAGGTGCTGGTGATTGAACCCGGGACCTTCTGCATGCAAAGCAGATGCTCCACCCGGTAACACTAAGCTGCCTTCTAGTGAGTCAGACCTTTGGTCGGGCAAGGTCAGTATGGTCCACTCTGACTGGCAGCAGCTCTCCAGGGTCTCAGGCAGAGGTCTTTCAAGTCACCTCTGCCCGGACCTCTGAGCTGGAGATGGCAGGGTTTGAACCTGGGACCTTCTGCATGCAAGGCAGACACTCCTCCTCTGAGCCGTGACCCCACTCCATAACATAAAGTTGCTCTCGACTGATTCAGACCTTTGGTGCGTCAAGGCCAGTCTTGTCTACTCTGAGACTTGTCTACTGGAGATGCTGAGGATTGAACCGGGGACCTTCTGCAGGCCAAGCATTGCCAGGGCCGGCTCACTCGCTAGGCGAACTAGGCGATCGCCTAGAGCGGGACGGCCCTTAGGGGCGCCAAACTGAACCTGGCCTCGTACTCTTGATTATTTGTGTTTTTCATTCTTCCTAAAATGCATTTATTTTTGAAAATTGGTGGGCGCACTGGGGGGGGGGGCGCCAGAAGGGATCCTTGCCTAGGGTGCAAAATAAGCTGGGGCCGGCCCTGAGCACTGCCACTCCATAACCGAAAGCTGCTCTCGACTGATTCAGACCCTTACCCTCACCTCTGCCTGGACCTCTGAACCGGGGATGCCGGGGACTGAACCCGGGACCTTCTGCACACTAAGCAGACGCTTTCCCCGTGAGCGGCATCTCATCCCATTGTTCTGTAATCTCCCCCCCCCCCGTGCTCGAAAGGCCTCTTTACACGGTCACTTCCTGCGACCCACCCACCGTGGGAAGGGCGAGCACCCTTTGACGCCCTGCTCTCCTTCCCCGACAGGATCGGGATCATCGGAGCTCCCCGCAGCAAGTTCAGCCCCCACACGCTCCTGCCTATCCCTACGGAGGAGGAAGAGGAGGAGGAGGGGGAGGATCAAGAGAACTTGAGGACCAGCTCCTCCTCCCTCATCGCCCAAGAGCTGCTCATCTCCCCCAGGGACAACCAAGGCAGCCCCAGCGACGCCCCTTCCGGGGCTACGACGGAAGCGGACTACGCGGAGAGCCCCCAGTAGGGTCCGGTTAGCGTTAGGGTGAAGTTTTCCCACACATTAAATGGGTTTTCCGGAAGCCACAGCTTTTCGGGGGTCTGGAGAACCCCCAGTAGGGTCCGGTTAGCGTTAGGGTGAAGTTTTTTTCACGCATTAAATGGTTTTTCCGGAAGCCACAGCTTGTCGGGGGTCTGGATTTTCATCCCCCTTGTCGTTCAGGAACGAGGGGGACATTGAGCAAATCCAACGGGATCAGTGAATCGACAAAGTGACCCTAAGAACAGAGCTGCTTTGCTAACCTAGAATAAAGTTTGAGTCCAGTGGCACCCTTAAGTCCAACAAGTCTAATTTTGGGTATTAGCTTTCGTGTGCATGCATTCAGATGCTTCGCTGAGGAATTGCGCATGCACCCGAAAGCTTATACTCAGAATAAAACTTTGTTGGTCTTAAAGATGCTACTGGACCAGCACGGCTACCCACCTGGATCTATTTGCTAACCTGGATCGCTGCTACACCTTGACTTCCTACCCCTAGCCAGAGAATCCTGGGAATTGTAGTTTGTGGCTGTTTGTGTTGAGAAGAGATCTCCCCCCCTCAACCCACCCAGCCTCGTAGAACTGCCATTCCCAGAATTCCCTTGGGAGAGTGAATTACCATTAACGTAATTTAATAATTATTTTTTAAATGGTTTTATTTGATTTATATCCTGCTTTCCCCCCCTCAATGTGGGGCGAAGAGTGGGTTCCAACATATAATACATAGAGCATATATAAGATTAAAACATATCGATTAAAACAATTCTAGCAATAAAGTTGCTAAGATGGCCCATACAATTACGATACTGCTGCCCCAGGGAGGGCGGGGGGTAGTGAATCTTTATGGATGGGAGTTCTCCTGACCTCATCCATTTGCTTGGAGGTGTATCTGCCTCTTACAGACCCTTCGGAATTGCACCGAATCCCGCAGGGCCAAGATCTCAGCTGGAGCGACCATGGAAAAGGCTCTGTCTCTGGTCAGTGCCAGGTGCATAACTCCTTGGTCCCGGGATCGTCAGCAGGGGTCATTTCCTGCAGGAGTGCACAGGAGCGGAGCTCCGGTAGTAAAGAGCCCAGGGGGCGGGCACATGCAACAAGCCCCACCCCCTGCTCCCAGCAGCCCTCAGTCAGAACAAGAAACAGCCAGGTAAGCTGCAGAGCCCCCCCTGGTCCAGAACAGTCCAGTGGCATCTTTAAGACCAAGTTTTATTCAGGTACAAGCTCTCCCTCCTCTGCGAGGACAGATCTGCATGTCCCCCCCCCCAGTAGGTAGCAATCCAAAACAGTCCAGTGGCGCCTGAGCGGTGGCTGTTGCCTTCTGATACACTTCCGGTGATGTCAGAGGTGGTGACATATGCGAATAAGTCATGCTAATGAGCTCCTGCACCTCTTTTTCTACGAAATGACCCTGATCGTCAGTGTGCTTTTATTAGAAGAGTGTCATGCTCTTTTTTTTGGGGGGGG